TTTAATTTGAGCTTTCTGTGAAGAATGACTTCCCAGTGAAGAGTCAACTTCAAGCCAGGCTCACAAACTCTGAATTAGCAAACCCAAATCAATGAGAATTTCACTTTACATATGTTAAACAGCACTATATATAACAAAAATACCGATTCCTCATGATATACTGTCTTACTCAAACTCTACTCATATTTAAATTTTGTAGCGTTTACATCTACATGATTTATTATAGGCTGGGAAAGAAACTAAGTTATTGCAAATAATTGGATGTGAAAGCCTTTAAAATTCATACTGTAACTGCCTGTATTATTCCCCGTATATCTTCATCTGGTACTTTTAAAGAAATAGCACTTTTGAATATTATTTTTAGAACATAGCTCTTCGGTGCCCCCAAATCTTAATTCATCTATAGAATCAGTCATTTAGCACTGTAACCCACAGCATGTTAATAGGCCGTTCAAACAAATATAAACTAAATGAAAAAAAGTATTTTCCCCAACTTTACATCTAATAGATGGAAGCATATGCAAATAACTTCTAATTTTAGCTACCTGTGATCCTGCATCTTTAACTCTGAGAGAAGAAACTTTGGACCGCTTTACAATTTTGGCATTTTGTTTTTCACTTGGCAAATAACATGGGCCTCTGTTTTTGAATCAGATTCTTTATCTACCCCCTTGCAGTTTCCACCTCCCCATTTATCTCTCGGGACTTGCAGGCTGTGTTTACATTCTGCCAAAGGGCTGCAGCAAAAGCAAAATTCCAATCCATCACCCAGATGTTTCCAAACTCCACGCAGCCATATTTGGAATTGTATATATAAAATATCCCTATAATTTATTAATTTTTCTTCCCCACCTGGATGTTTTGGCATCAGCTCACTTGGTGTCTGGCAACTCTTGGGAATTGCATATTAAGGTCTGGTGTAGGGTTCTTTGCTGATCTTGAAACCTTGCCAGGTTGCTGGGGCAGGAGGTGGGTAGGTGATAGCCTTGCCTCAAGTCTGTAACAAAGCCATTGTTTTCAGAAGTGTGGTGATCCAAGCACCCAGATCAACGGCAGAGAACAGTTCCTCCAGTGACAATCCTCCAATGAAGATCAGAGTTCAATCCCCCAGAACCACTACAAAAAAAGCTGGGTGCAGGGTATGTGTTTGCAGTCTGAGTGCCTGGGAAGTGGCAGCAGGATGGCTGGTGCTTGCTGGCCAGCAGTCCAGTTGAGTGGGCAAGCTCCAGATGCAGTGAGAGACAGTCTCAGAAAATGAGATGGAGGGCAATTGAAGATGAAAGCTGATATTGGCCTCTGACCTCCACACCCATACCTGCATACACATACACGCACATGTATGTACACCCAGTGTAGGTACAGATATATGTATATGATGCCAGTTGTTATCAGAATGAACTTAAATAACATAAAGAAAACAAGTGTCCTAATAATAAATCAAGCAGAGTCTATGAGCTGAAAGGTCTTCTTAGATGAAAGTTTAGTCTATTTCTTTCCTTCCACAGTGAGTAACCTGAGACCAAGATAGATGAAACCTCATCCAGCCCTGGAGAGAAAGCCACGGAAAAGCTGAGGACTAGAGAGGTGGCTCAGCAGTTGAGTGCTTGTCCATCTTCTGGAGGACCAGATTTGATTCCCAGCACTCAAACAATGGCTCACAACCATCTGTAACTTCAGTTCCAGGGAATCCAACACAATGGCAATCAGGCAGGCACATGGTGCACTTATATAGTTGCACAACACACACACACACACACACACACACATACACACACACACACACACACACACACACACACACAGAAACCGGAATTGAGGTCTGATGGAGCACTCGGCTGGGTTTCCACGCCAGGGTTTCATTTCTTTATTTTGCCACTGGGAAAATCTATTAGGATAAATAAGGCTTTTATTACTTTACATGCCAAACGATGTTAGGGTAATTCTCATATTGAAATAGGCTTAGAAAGTTTTCATTTTGTTTAAATTATACAAACACTGGCATTTTTCACCCCGAATCAAATCATTCCTTCAAATCGCCACATGTAATTTATACTGGCTTCTTGGAGAAGCTGATTAAGGCATGGCCTCCCAGCCTCCATTTCCCCTGCTGGTGGATAAGGAGACTCTTTGTAGCCTCACAAAATGGACGTGTCTGAATCAGGAGGTCTGTGTCTGCACAGTGAGTATCCAGTGCTGGTTTCCACACAAGAAGGGAAGGCATAGTTCCATGAAAGTCTGCACCAGCGGCATGAGCTGTCCGTTTCTCACACGGGCAAGCTGTACAGTTGTTCTGGTGAGGGTAGAAGCACAGGAGCGGAGGACAACTTGTGGAGGAAGGCAGCCCCTGTTTCTTGGCCTGACGTATATACTCTCTTGGCCTGCACATCCTCAGATACCAATCATGACAATTCAGCACTCTAATTTCTCCGTGAATTCACCCCTTAGGGAATAAATGCGTTTATCCTAGTTGGTTCTGGAACATTCTTCTTCGGGATGAGACAATTCCAGCATTGGTGTGAAATATTCCCAAGACTGAAAAAACTTTTTGGAAGAAACACATGGAGGGGGCAGAGAAAATGGTTCACATGTTCTTCATGCATCACCCCTTTAAGAACAGAGAGGGTTTCCTTGTTAGTATGCTTTCGTTCAGGGAAACAAATGAGAGAGGGTCCTTCCTGGCTCAGCAGAGGGGATTTATCCATGCAGCCCATATTCATGTTAATGGCTGTTAGATGAGTAAAGCCCAGCCCTTCAACATGATAATACATAATATACTCCTTAATTTTTAATTCACCAGGGTCTCAGTTTTAAAGCATTTTCTTGTAGTTTGTCCTAATTATAATCATTTTTAATGACAGCTTAAAAATTTCATCCAACTGTCTTATCACATACGGTACTTAATTTCTCAAGTGAACAGTGTCACTGTACACCATTCTGGGAATTTTAAGAACTAAAACATAAAAGGAAAGAAAGTCCTTTGTATGGTGAAACTAGATGTTAATTGTTCTAATATACATAAAGAGACCAAAGCAGTTTCTGGAAGCAGGGGCTGGCTTTCCTGTGGAGCCCTCTCCAACCCCTTTCAAGGGAGCTTCTTACAACCCCAGGGGAGACTAGAGAAGAAAAGGATTTCTTCTCACTTTGCTGGGTTCTGCCAAAAATCAGACCCGGGATTGAATATTCATTGTTGTAGTCTACACACTGGACAGATGAGGGCTGCTTGCTCAGACTACAGTGAAAAGTGGCCAACTGGGGAAATAGGGAGCGAGCACCTTAACCATAGCGCCCCCGAGCTTGGCTATTGCTCAGGTTGTTTGAGGTAGAGTGAGTTTTCCAATGCCTGAGTCCAGCTCTGTTTCCAGCAGACCGAAAGCTGTAACAGCAAAAACCCGCAAGTCTACAAAACACACAGCTCTGCCGAGCCCCGGGACTCCTGGCACAAGGATCATGCCAACCTCCCTTTTTATTGACAAATGATAATTATACTTATTTTGGGGGGGCTACACTGAACAATTTAGTATATACACACAATGAGCAATGATCAAATGTGGGTAATTATCACTTCCCTCCTCTTAAACATTTATCATGTCTGTGCTGGGAAGTGTCTAATTTTTCTGGTGCTTTGTAAAATAAGTAATAAACTGTTGTGAGCTACAGTTACCCTACTGAGCTCAGAGGCTCTGACCAGCCAGTCTGGTATGACAATACCATTGTTAGGACAAGTGGCCATTTAATGTGCTCAGTTAATTGCTGAGCTGAGAGAAGTCATTGCCTCGTCCACTTTGAATAACTTGTCCTAGGAACTCCTGAGGATTGTCAAGCCCCGGCCTCTGATGATTTTTGGAGACTCCAGAAAACACACATTGAGCCAGCAAAGGCATACTGTATTTTGCTTTGTCCGGCAACTTCCCCTTCCGTGTTCTGGGGTCAACCCACAGATGGGAACTGATTTGAGTGGAAAACACACCTTGGCTTGTTGTGATTAACGCTGAGGACATATTGAAAAGAACAAAGGAGAAACTTGAAAGTTGAGACATTGACCTTGTTTAAAACGACCTATAGAACAAGCCGCTCTGCATGCCTCTAGGAGGCAGGGGCTCGTAAACTTCACTGTATATATTGCAGTCACCTGGACACGCAGGGAAGAAGGGAATGATTACACAAAGTGTACATTCCTGTGTCTCCTTTCTGAAGATCGGGACTCAGCCAGACAGAGAGAGCCATTTTTAGTAAGGACCCCCCCACCCCAACCCCCAAGAGGCCTCCATGAGAGCGATAACCTGCTGTCTTCGGATTTGAGTTGCTTATTACAAACCAAACCAAATGTCAGAACAAGCAAAACAAACCTCAACAACACATTTCTTTATGGACAGACTAGAAGAGAAAGAAGCCTAACGAACTTTATTTATTTATTTTTGGTACTGGGGTGTGAACCCAGGGCCTTGCACAGCCTCTACCACTGAGCTACACTCCCAGCCCCCATAACAGTGTTCACAAGCTCCACCGAAAACATTGTCTATACACATGCAAACAGGGTTATGTATCAACGCCTCCCCGTAGAGACTTAACATGATAGATGGCCAGGTGCTTGATCTTGGCAATTCTGAAGGAAAAGCCTGGCTGGGCCCTCCATGATTTGGGTATAACACTCTTATCTACTGTAACTACAGGGAAAGCAGCTTTCTCCTCCCCCTGTCGCGGGCTCCTGTTCCAGATGGCAGAAAGGCACGGGCGCTATTTCCGTGTGCTGCGGTCTGTCTTCACTTCCTTTTGGGAAAGGCCCAGGTTTTTCTGGGCGCTGCGTGTAGGGTCCACAGTGGCCTCTGTGTGTTGCTCCGGTACACTGTCCAATCCAGATATTCCCTAGAGGACTCCAGGCTTTGCAGTGTAGGGATCTGAGCTCAACATTTGCCCAAAGAAGTGTGCTCCCTTCGTGTGCCAGATGGAACGAAGGATGCGGCACAAACATTTCTCTCCTCCCCACTCTTTTTTTTTTTTTTTTTGGATGCATCTCTCCCATCTCTGTGTGTGTGCAGTCTGTTTTGATTTCTTTCTGAGAAAAGGAGAGGTTTTCCCATGCGTTTTGTGTGGGGTCAATATTAAGACCCATAGTGATGCGCTTCAGTGGCGTCTACTGCGCACAGGGCACAGGTGAGTACCGGTCGCTTCCTAGTTGGCCCAGGCTTCAGTTTTAGGGGTGAAGTCTGGTGACAGAGTTGGTGTGGTCTTTTTCCTTCTCCTTCTCCTCCTCCCCCTCCTCCTGAGCTCACCTGGGGAGCAGAATCCAAAAGCCTGTGGCCACCCAGCCTTAGGGCTTATGACCATCAAACGACAAACTCAGTCTCTCTTTAGCCTGGCTGGGCCAAGGCATTCCATGGTCCTCCTCCAAGAACGGCAAGATACATCCACCATAATAAACGCCGGAGGGTAAAAAAAAATCACCCCAAAATTGTAGCTTCCAAATATCATTTTCCAGAACAACTTAACAATAAAAATACATGTTAATACCCAATGGTTGGCAGGTTTTTGATGGTGTTAAGCTGCTTGTGCGGAGGTTCTACCACCGGTGCGGCTTCCTAGCTGAAGAAAAGAACTGGCTGGGAGCGCGGGGTTTGTGTGCTTTCAGGGTTGCAACAAAATCAGCCTCAGGGGAATTTTAAGTCGCCTTGAATTGCTTTTTAGCACAGTCTACGGAAGTAAAAGTTCTAAATCTGCCTGGTTACAGACAAATCACGTAAAAAGCCAGCTTTGTACTGGCAAAGCCTCCTCGCTACAGGAACGGTTTCAAGCGGCAAAACCTAACAATATGAAAGCGAAGTATTGTTATTTATTGAATGCGTGAAACAGGCTGTCATTGCAAATGAGCCTGTAGGAACACTTTAAGGTCACGTGAAGTGCCAGATCCTTAGTGTGACAGATGTCCTGCTATATGGGTGGTAATGTTTACACACGTATGTCGTGGCTGGTGGGCTTGTTTATACACACATGTGTAGGCACAGGCTCCTTCTACAGTAAAAGGTCACAGATCCATTGCAAGTTGTTTCAAGATAATATCTACTAAAATTCTCCAGATGGCTGGAATCCTTGTATTTTCTAATGAGAAATATAGGATAATAAAACATTGAAAAGGAAATCTAGATTTAGTGTCATACAAGTCTTGTAGATTGAGAATTAAAATAACCAGATCTAGTTACATGCTAAATATACCCTGTATACACAGTGTTTTCACAAAACACAGAGAGGCCAGACTGAAAGGCCCACCATAAAAGGAAGGTGGAATTTTAGTGATTGGATTTAGTACTTGACATGATTGAACTGGTCAGTGTCAGCCTGTCCCTCCTACACTACATAAAGCTCTGCGGGACAGTCACTGAATTTATCTTTCTATGCTTTGGTGGTGTTCTCCACCTAAACATGTTCAATGAGCACTCGATGTCATAACATTGATGTAGTTGTGTATTTTTAACTTCTATGCAAGGACATCATTCAATTTCATTTACTGGCCAAGAAGACAACAGTTCATAATCAAATAATTCTATCAAATAAAATGAAACATGTGGGCTGGTTTAAAATTGATCGGTGGTGAGACTTTCAATCCTGGAAACCATTTAAAGTGGACCCATGGAAGCCACCTGGCCCATTGCCCTGAGTTCTAATGTTGCCTGGTTTACATGGAATGACCTGTGGGTTGGCTATCCCCGAGTATTATAAACAGCCTACTCTCCTCAAATGTAACAAAGAGCTAAGATTGTACAAGCGGGGAAGACATTTGAGAAATGATAAACAACCCTGAGGATTTGAGTATTTATTCTAGGCTGCTTATGATGACATATTTTTATAACACTTGTCTGGGTGCCAGGAAATGGCAGGATGGAAAATCACATTCCCCAAATAAGTGAAGGGTGTGTCACCCCGAATGGCTTGCATCTCCAGCAAACTCTATTGATAGCCAAGACAGAGCTTTAAGGTGCAAGAGAGATTTAATCCCCCTCAAAATGTCTTTGAAGAATCTTAGATTCCAAGAAGGCTTCTTTTGCTTTCTTTCATTTTTTTTTCTTTAAAAAAAATTGCTTGCTTTCAGTGTTGCTAATTTGTGGTCTTTAGAAAAGGCTAATGTATTTTCAGACCTTAGTGTATCTTCAGCAAGGGAGGTTTCCATACCTTGTTAATTTGCATTCTTTCTGTTAGCCAGACAGACAAACAAACAAACATTACTCTTCAAGAAAAAAAAAGCAAGGAAGGAATTTGAATAATTTTGAGCTTTGGTTTTAAAGTATTTTGATTTGGTAATTTAGGGGTCCATTTGGAAGAGAAATGGTAGCCCATTGGTCTTCTAAGTGAGCTACCTCTTCTCATTGTAAAATAACCCAGTGTGGAGTTTCAAATACAACACAAATCAGAGCTGGCCACTAAGAGAGGCACGGATGTTTTCAGCTCAAGTAATTAAATTTACACTTGCAAGTTATGAGCTGCCACGGAAAGAGAAACAGTTTGTGTAAAAATGGGGCTTAAAAAGCAGTTTTCTCCTCTCTGAAAATCAGAATTCTCACAGCATCTGGACATTTGAGGACAGCTTCACACTGGTCAAGTAAAACTCCTTTATTAGTGATAAGTAAAACCAGGAGATTTGCAATTATGACTTTGTTCATCTTGGGGTTGCAAGGCAAAGACAAAGTCCATCCCAAATTGTGCATACATTGGTATTATTAGTAATAAAGCTACATAGGCTATGAGATTTGCATGAGATATGCATTACCTCCAGGGAACATAGTAGAAAAACATGTGTTTCAGTGACTAAATCTAAACCTACAATTTCCAAAGATCATGGGCAATTGGCTCTCTCTGAGGTGAGGACTACTCATAAAGTCACTGAACAGAAGGTCAATTTCATTCTTACTGGTTACCCAACAGTAAGTAGAGCTCTCAAGTAGACCGTACTCAACAGCTGTAGGGGTTGTAGTTCTACGGGTCTCCTCAGAAAGGCTGTGCACTTCTGACAATTTGCTGTCACCACTGTCAATCATTTAAAGATAGTCATTGTTATAAAGCACAGGCTGGCCTCAAATTCAAGATCCATCTGCTGCAGCCTCCCCATTGCTGGCATCCCAATTATGCACTACCGGATCCAATTATTTGCAGTTCTCTATGATTATATTTGTGACCCTATGTTTCATAAGTGAAGTCTAATGGGACCCTGGGACTTGCATGTTAGCAGAGGAGATACAGGCAATATACATATTATAAATATACATACACACATATATGTTTGTACATATACATATATATGTATATATATATTTCTTTGTTTCCTAATCACATATCCCCTTTAAGAGATTCTGGAACACAGGATTTTGGTGGTTCCAGCACCGTGGGAATTTATAAGGCATAAAATAAGTATAAAATAGACTATGGAAGCTCTGAGTTGCAGAAAAATTAGTAAAATTTGGTTTCATTAATATATGAAATAAAAACCATGGCAGTTAACTCCATGAAATGCTTCTGTTGTGATAAGGATGAAACACATATATAAGAAATGGGGGGATGGCCCAGACTATAAAGTCTGTGTGCAAGCCTGCTGTGCAAGCATGAGTACCTGAGTTCTGATCCTCGGTACCCATGTCAAAGCTGGGCATAAAGACATGCATTTGTTGGGTTTGGGGTATTATTTGTTTGTTGTTTAGATGGAGTATCACTAGTAGCCCTGGCAGGCCTGGAACTCACTATGTAGAAAAGTTGGCCTTAAATTTACAGAGATCCACCTACTTTTCTGTTTCTTGAGTTCTGAGATTAATGGCATGCACTTGCAAACCCAGTGTTGGGAGAGGCAGAGACAGGTGGATCCCTAAAGCTCATTGGCCAGACAGCCTAGCCAAATGGATGAGCTCCAGGTTTAGCGAGAGACTGTATCTCAAAAAAATAAGATGCCAAGTGATGGAGGGAAATCCCTGGCAATTGACTCCTACCCTTTACACATGTGCACACACATGCATATGCATTCATATGCACATATATGTGCACACTCATACACAAGAATGAAATATACACATAAATGCTATGAAATACCAAGTGTGTAATTTTTGGTAGAAGTCACACACCCTTTATTTGAAATTAGAATGAACTGTGAAATACTAAGATGAATAGTAAAAATTGGAGTTAATGACAAATCTCTCTTTGTGCACATTGCTTATGTACGTTTGTGATCAGAGTTCCAACTGGGTTTCATGTATGGTAGGCAAGTGCTCTACTACTGAGCTACACCTTCAGCTTCATGACTTGTAGTTTTTAATGCCTTTGACTTACACCATGAAACAGCAAACAAAACATACTATTGAAAAGTGGAAAGAGGGAGTATGGGAACCAGGGCAAGTGTGGGAGCAAAAGCATATGAAAGAGCTTGGAATAAAGACTTTTGTATTGTAGTACTATGCACACGTGGCCTGCACTCCATTTTACATGGAGCCCTACAGGTTTTGTACCTGGCCCTGGGGTTGATGGGGGAGAAGAGGAGACACAGGAGTTGTTCTAATGGAGATAGTTTACCGTGGAGAATTGGGTTAACAAGTACTGATGGGCTGAAAATGCAAAGGAGAACATGGAGGTAAGGGTCAATGCAGACAGAGGCTACTACTCCAGTGGTGGCAAAGTCAGAGCAAGACTTGGGATATGTGCATCTAGAATCCCTCAGTAGGAGCCTTGGATAGTTCTGGTCAGGTCTCTGCAGAAGGTAACTGACAGCTGGTGCTGGGAATTCGAGAACTCAGGGGAGCCTCAGACCTCTGAGAAGAGGACACCACTTGTTTGGGAAGGTTTCTCTAGTGGGTGGGTGCAGGATGGCTGGCTTTGGAAGCACCAACTCTGCAGGAGTCAACTGCAGAAGCAGTAATAGGTGCTATGGAGGAGAAGTGTGAGACCTGTTTCCAGATTCCCTTCCAGTACCCCTAAGTGGCCAATCAGAAAAGGACTTCAATTGGCTAGGGAGAAGTGTGGTTTGAAGAACCCACAGCCAGCATGGTATCATGCAGCAGCAAAGAGAACAGTGAGATAGAACCATGAGACAAACTTAACCAGCACAGTCTAGGCAGAAAGGCCCTGGGCATTCACATCTTGCTTTGAAACCATGCCCTCTATGTGGTCACATACAGAGACTGAATGTTCAACCTGAGAACTTGAGGAAGAGTAATACACACACACACACACACACACACACACACACACACACACACATTCAAGATTAAGTGGGAAATTCATCTGGAATCTTCATGGTAACTCTGTTCTTTTCCATAAACACTCCAGCCCACTCCTATTCAGAACATTCCTAGCTGTGGAAATCTCTATGCCTAGACATCTCATGGCAAGCATCTCATGATTTGAGCTTTGTTTCAAATATCCCCCACTCTGAGATTGCTCCTAATCTCAAATCTAAACTGGTTACCCCCTGAAGTGTCTCATCGTACTCTTTCATCTTGGCAATTATCAACATCTAAAAATGTCTTCTGGCTTGTCAAACGTCTTCCTTATAGCAGAGCATCAGCTCTTTGGAAAGAGAGACATCGTCTATGTTGTGCAGTGCTTGAAATGGCAGACATAGGATCAGACTGAAGCCAAGGCCTTGTGAATACCAGGTAAGTGCTGTACCAACTACAATATATCTTCCAGACCCAAACAATTGTTTGTAACTCAGTAGTTTTTCTCATTACTGTAACAAAATTCCTTCTAAAGACATCTTTTATAAAAGCTTCATTTTTGAGGGTACAGATCATCAGAATGGAGAAGGTGGGGTGAGAATACAGCTACTGGGAGCTCGAGGCAGCTGCACTACCATCAGGAAGCAGAGTTGAATCTGGCACTCAGCTCACTGTCTCTTCTGCTAGTTTTATTTATCCTGGGGCCCCAGTCTAATACAGAGCCTGGCACCTACCTCTGTGTTCAGGGTAGGTCTTCTACAGACTCCTACTCAGAGGTGTGTCTCCTAGGTAACTCTACATTCAGTTAAATTTGACAATGTAGACTACCCATCACAAACTGTAAGAAAAGAAAACTAACAAGTATTTTCTACCATTAATATTATATGAGCAGTAAGTTAAGGTCAGGTAGATGTCTCTTTGCTAAAGTACTTATCAATTTCCTGGCTATAAAAAATGATCACCAACTTTATAAACATTTGAGGGGCTTAGGGAGCTGGCTCAGTAGTTAAGAGCACTTGTGGCTCTTGCAGAGGACCTGGGTTCAACTCCAAGCACCCACAGGATGCTTCACAACTATTTTTAACTGCAGTTCCAAGGGATCCAGTCCTTTGTTCTGACATCCATGGATCTGACACATGTGATACATGGACATCCATGTAGACAGAACACCCATAGACATAAAACAAATAAATCTAAAATAAAATACTTGTCATAGTCTTAAAACTTTTGCCTCAGAGATACCGTGTGTGTGTGTGTGTGTGTGTGTGTGTACATTTTTTTACTTCTGAGTTTCAAAGTATTGATGACTGAAGAGGCTAAGAGACTACAAAAATGTTTTCTAAATACCTCAAGGGACCACTAACTGAATAAATACAACATGATTATGTAACAGGATAGTCTTTTGGACACAAAGAAGTAATGATATACTAAGCTACAACATGGATGCACCTTGAAATTATTATCCAGAGTGAACAAATCCAGTCATAGAAGACCATGTGTCATATGGTTCTACTTACAAAACATGCCTAAAATGGGTAAACCTATAGAGACAGTTTGTAATTAGTGCTTGCCAAGGCCTGGGTAGTGGTGTTGAGGTGAGAGGATAGGGGGAGAATATCTGAAGCGTATAGGGTTTCTTCTTGAGCTGATGTGATATTGTAAAATCAGAGGTGGTCTTAGTTGCATAAATCTGTCAGAGTTCTGGAAATGTCAAAACTGTATTCTTTCAATAGAGGGATTTTAAGGTAACTAAATTGAAAGGTCAATTTAGGGATTGGTAAAAATAAGTAATTCCTGGTTTAAGATGGTAGACACAGAATCCATTTCTAGTTTCTCCCATCTTGTATATTACACGTGGACAACCATGGCTTGTAGACCATATGCAAGTCATTGCCTGTTGGTCTGTTACTTACAAGTTACATTGGCATGCACAGAAGTTTGTTTGCATGTAGTCTATGGTGGCATCCTCACTTAAACACCAGAGTTTACTGTTTTCAAAGGGACTTCATGGCTTACTGAACCTGAAATCCATTCTCTAGCATTTTAAGATAAAATGGGAAGGGGGACTCCTGAGAGATGACTCTGAGGGTGAAGGTTCTTGCTACTGAGCCTGACAACTTGAGGTTGAACCCTGGAGTCACATGATTGAAGGAAAGAGCCGACTCCCACAAGCTGTCCTCTGTCTTATGCTGTGGCAATGCTTACATGCATGCTGCCACCCACACACAAACAAGTAAATAAGTAAACTGTAAAAAAAAAGAAAGAAAGCGTTGGCTTACCCTTGGGCTTGAAGAAAAAAACAGGCAGATAAATAATTGCTATATTATTGAAAGAGAAAATACTTGTTATGCTAATGCTTCATGGTGTATTTCAACTGAAAGCACCAGAAAAGCCTCCTGGAAAATTTGCCGATAAGATGCCACCTGTTTAAGTGTTTCTTTTGTCATCACAGTATTTCCCAAATCACTCCATTTCATGGACCCTGAGATCCCACTGGTGATAAGAATCCCCATCACTGTGTTAATGAGGAAAAAGGGTGCACTAGTTACAATACGACACGAAGCTTTCTACTTTGTCCCTTCAAGACAAGCAGTAAGCTCACCTAAGTGGATTTTACACACAGAGAAAGGTGCTCATAACCTTAGGGGGACCACACAGGGGCCTCATGCTTGGCTCTGTGATTCTGCTTCTTTCCCACCACTCTCTTAGTCATTCTTCTGTCAGCCACTGGGAGTCTGAGCCTTGTCTTTCCGGGGTGATGAGAGAGCAGCTACAAATGAGGCAGAGAGGCAAGTCCTTGCTGAAGGTGTGTGGTTATGTGAGCTGTGGAGCTTAGGAGTGCATCAGCTTTTCATAGTGTCTGTCTGTCTGTCTGTCTTCCTGCTCACTTCTCCATCTCAAACCATCCATCACGTGGATGACAAATTAACATATTTAAAGCCTTCATTTATCCAGGTCACACAGCTACTCCGAAATTGAATGTGGCTCCTGCCACTGAGACTAGATCCACCCAAGTCAGATATTTAACGCTCTTATGGCTTCTGCCTGCCTGCATGTGCCTCTGTATCTCTGTTACATTGTCCTATTAGCCGCTCTGCTGTCTACAAAGCCTTTCAATGTTTCTATGAGCTTTTCTTAGTGAAGTGTTTTTAGTACCTCTCTATATCATCTCTATTATAAGTAGTTGTACATTGCTTTATGAGTGTTCCATTCAGTTGTGAGACATGCTTACCTCATTACTCACATGCATGTTAGAATATGTATATCTACTTCTCTTCCATTAATTTGTGTGCATGTATGTTTGTGTGCACACACATAAGCACCCACATGTGAGCAAAAGCCAGAAGACAACCTTGGGTGTCATCCTTCAGTCATGGTCCACTTTGTTTTTGTTAGTTTGTTTCTTGCATTTATTTATTTATTTTACATTCCTACTGTAGTTTCCCCTACCTCCTCTCCTCCCAGTCCCTTTCCTCACCACCTCCCCAGGATAAGGAATAGAGTCTCAAAAGCCAGTGAGAGTCAGACACCTCCTTCTCCCAGTTAAGAGTCCCACAAGAAGACCCAGCTGTACATGTATCACATATGCAGAGTGCCTAGGTCAGTCCCACGCAGGCTTCCTGGTTGTCGGTTCAGTTTCTGTGAGCTCCTAAGAACCCAGGTTAGTTGATTCTGTGGATCTTCTTGTGATGATGTCCTTGGCCCACTGGCTCCTAAAATCCTTCCTCCCTCTCCTTAGCAGGGTTCCCGGAGCACTGCCTAATGTTTGATCTACAGAACATTCACCCAAACACAAAAGAATATACCTTCTCAACACCTTGTTTTCTGAGACAGGGCCTCTCACTGGTCTGGAACTCACATATTGGGCTGGACTTGCCAGCCATGGTCACCAGGAACCCACCTCTCTGCCCTTTCAACACTGGGATCCCAAGTGCATGCCACAGTGCCTGACTTTTTCTTTTCTTTTCTTTTTTTAAGCGGGTTCTGGGAATTGAATTCAGGTCCCCGTGTTTATAATGCATGTGCTTTACTAACTGAACTGGCTCCCAGGCTTCCCATGTGTTTTTAAGATTTGGGCCTGAATCGGGTTTCACTCCTAACTTCCCAGAGTTCACACAGTATCATATCATTTCATATCATATGCATGCCACACTGAACCAGAGAAATGTGCTTTTAAAAAATGAGTGCTTTGGAGAAACTTTTTGTTTCTTTACAGCAGTTTGGGCACCTACATTCATTTTCCCAAGGAGCAGTTTCTTTTTAGTGTGCCTTAAGAAAGAGCAGCGAGGGGGTTCATAGGAATCAAGTAGAAAGAATCCTGTTTGGAATTAAGGGGCCAGCTGAGTCTGTGTGCCAGTGTTAGTGCTCTTAAAAGCAAGAAGAGCCGGGCGGTGGTGGCGCACACCTTTAATTCCAGCACTCGGGAGGCAGAGGCAGGTCGATCTCTGTGAGTTCGAGGCCAGGCTGGACCAATAGCCTCCAAAACAATACAGAGAAACCCTGTCTCGTAAAAACAAAAACAACAACAACAAAAAACAAGAAGAAAGGATGAAGGCACAGAAGAGAGACAAGAAAAAATGCAAGACTGCGCTGACAACTAAATATTAAAAAAGGCTACAACTTAAACATCTTGCTACTTTCACACTCAGAATAGTAGCCACTGTTCAAAGCTTGCATAGCTCCAATGTCCCAGATCCTGGAGAATGACTTTCTAAGGAAGAAGGTAGAATCACAGTATCATGAGTACAGACCCTGTTCTGGCTTGTCTCAGACACCTGCTGGCATGCATGTGCATGTACACGGTCATGATTTGAACAGCTTCTCCCTGCACTTTGCAGAGCAGTTTCAACAATAGCATCAGGTACCGGAAGCAGAGAAGGAAAGGTGAGAAGGCTACAGGACATGACAGAGATTCACCGCTTTGGGTGGCCAATGACACCACTGTGCAGACAGACAGCTGAGGGTCCAATATCCACTCCATGTCTTAACAGCTGCTGACCTTCACACAGCTTTTGGGTAGCTCCTGGGTAGTGGGTGTAACAGTACCTCCTAGGTTACTGGGTGGATTAAATAAGATACCAATTGTGAAGCTTCCTGCACAAGTCTTGGCACCTAATAAACACTTAATAAATGCTGCCACTAAAGAAGAGTTCTTTTGTCTAACCACCAGATGATATTTCCTTTTTTTTTTTTTTTTTTTTTGGGTCTGCCGATTCCACTGTGAAATCGTCCAGAGCTGCGTGCAATCTCACAGTGGAGAGCTGCTATGACTATTTTTTTTTTGTGGTTGTTGTCTGTTTTATGAGTTTCCTGGCTGAGTGCTAGGAAATACTTCATCTGATCAATGTGTCAAACCCATTTCCCTACTAAAAAATGAAAAGAAAAAAAAACCCTCAAAGACAACAGTGGCCTGCTCCAAAACATGACAGATGTTGGAGAATAAAGATATTTCCACAGCACAGGATAATGTGCACACCAAGAAAGTAATTTCTGTCACAGTCTAGGTGGCCTTCCAGCAGGCGACAGCAGGGGCCATGGTGGTATTAACTTCATAAGAGTAGATAAGTCAGCAGGAGTTTCTCAGGCACTTGACAGAAGTCAATTTGGAAAGCACTGGAAATGCCAGGCTTTAAAGATAATCATGTTAAGAATCGAAAAAGGGTCTACTGTTTGAGTCATGCTTTTTCAAATGCAACAAAATCATTACACCTGTCAAGATTTATGGACAGATGTATTTATGCTGATGCTGGATCCCTAATACTTTGACAAATGAGAAAGCTTGACTTATTCAACAGATAATGTCTGTGTCTACTTTCCCTTTCCAAAAGGGGACGAAGTGGTGGGTTATGACAAGCTGGGTAGATGTGACTCTGGGTAGGGGGTGACCGTGTTCCTGGTCCATCCACTGCCCACTGCCCATACTATACATTAAGTCCTATCAGTAGCTCTCACTGTGAATATAATTAGAAATGGCTGATAGGAAGATGGCATGAGGAACAGACCCACATGAGTTACTCCCACACAGAAAAGAGTCTGATTTTTCAGCCCCCAAAGGATTGTTGCACTTCTGCAAAGGAAGTGAGGGGGATTTGATTAGCAACGAAGCATCTGAGTGTGCTGAGGTCATAGTGGCCATGTTTTCTAAGTTTATTAAAGAGGCTGATTCCTGGCAGTGAATTAAAGTCAAGGCTTGGTTCATACTCAAATACCTGGAAGAAATTTGCTTAGAAAAATGTCTGTAAAGAGACAATTAGATTTATGATCTATCAACAGGAATTTGATAAACTCACAATGGCCAAAAGGGGCCACAGATGAAAGGCACTACTGTAACAGGATCTGTAGCATGTTATAACAGGGACCTTTGCAGTTGCAATTTTATTTCCACTCGCTTGTTTTTGGACACTCTCCCTGCATCCTTGTACCAACTCATACTCCTTGTCTTATCCAATCTATAACAATTTGGACCCTAGATGAAAAGAAAGCATCTTCTTATCAAAGGACAACTCAACATGAACAAAAGCTTTGCCAGGAGGAAACAAGAGACTTGAATGCAGGCAGTGAGCTTCTCCATGGGAAGAGATTGGATATTGGGTATTACTTGCAGAGAGGGCGAAGCTGGCACTAGCGAGTATGAGGTCGCCATGAAGTACCATGGATAGCTTGGGCAGAAAATATGAGTTCAGTCAGTGTGTGTCCAGGCTTGTGCACAAATGCACATACACCTCTTGAATTTAGATGTCACTATGGAAAATAGGAGAACAAGAGGTGTACTGTGGGAGATAGACAGCAGTTATGTCAATACTCACTCAGCCATTCATTGAAATAATAATCAAGAACGCTAGCTGTGTTCCAGGCGTCAGACAAAGCTGTGGAGATATTCCAGTGGGCTATCTTAGCTGACTTTCTTGCTCTCGGGAGCTTACAGTCAAGCTGTGAGAGGTATGAAAGCAAGGGGCATCAAATAACAAACACAGGCAAGAAAGCAAGCTAAATGTAGACTGACAGAATTCTGAAAGAGAGTACACACGTGTGGGGTGAACAGTTACCCAGGGGACCAAGATCTCTAGGTAGGAAGCATGAAGGCATTTTAATGAGAAGTCTAAGAGCAAGATCTGAGGAAAGACAATGGAAAAAAGCTAATGTCTGACTGTGCACAGTATGGCCAGAAAGATGACAGGCCCTAGGGTAGGTAGATATTTGTGTCTTGGTGGAAAAGAAAGTCAGTTGTGACAGAGTGGGTAGAGTGATGGAGAAGATCTATTGACATGGTGTAAGAAGAGCTGTGGTATCATTCCATTTAAAGCTTTGATTGCGTTATCAACATATGTATATATTCATTCAAGCAAGCTTATGCCAGGTTTGACCCCATAGACACCATGAAGATGGAGAAAAGTAGATGTGTTTCGGAATTGAAACAGACTGTAATTCCATAGTCAGTTTCTTTTCAGGTTTAACATTTTTTTCCTACCATGCACCTAAGATTTATATTGAGATTAATGAAATGGTACCCACACACTACTTTGAATTCCTAGGAGAGAAGCAAGGTATTATTATTATTTTCTTTACTCATATTATGAATTTATTAACTTTTAGCTCTGATATTGAGGTAGGTATTTCATTGACAGCTGGGGTCTCATTTTACTAGCCAGGTGCCCATGTTGAACAAAGGTTATATTATTATGGAAGTTATTATTAGGAAAATATAATAGCTCCTGTTGAATACCAATAGCACAACCTAATTTCTTATGGTTCCAGCAAGCAGCTGGGGCAGAGGTAGGGGTGTTCAGCAAGTGTGTTTCTGATCCTTAACATCTTCTTCCCTTACCAGCTTTCAGGGGGGTTGGAATTTTGAATGATTCCAGGCTAGTTCTTTCTGAATGACAGCCTTGCCTGGTGGTCAAACTGAAAACTTTCTCCTGAATTTAAAATTAATCTCTTGAGGAAGTGAGGGCCAGCTTGTTGACAGGGCAAAAGAAATAAATCTCAAATTAACTGATCCTTAAGAAGTAATTAAACCCAGGAAATAAAGTTATAGGAGCAAGGGAATTTGGAAATACACTTATGATTACATTTACAAAAACACTGTACATGAAGTAACAGTGCACAGAAACTCAAAGACTGGAAGCGAATGAAACCAGAGCTAAAATATCACCTGAGAACACTAACTACCCCTTTTCTAAAGGTGTACCTTCTCTAAAACAAGGTCACATCAGACATAAAATGCACAGAAAACACCAATAATTAACCATCATTGTTAATGTACACACACACACACACACACACACACACACACCACACGACTAGGTCTTGTTATGTAGCTCTATTTTGCTTGAAACTCACTATGTAGACCAGGCTGGCCTTAAATTTACAGAAATCTGCTTCTCTCCGCCTTGTAAGTGCTGGGATTAGAGGCAGTGCTACTATGTTCAGCTTTACAAGAAAACAAAAAGTGGGAGTGGGTACAGGGTCTCACTGTGTAGTAACTGCTGTATTTTTTTTAATATTAGCACCTACAGACAGAATAATATGGCTTCTATGAGGTAGTTGTATGCAAAACTCTGGTTAATACTGACATTTACCACAGTAAAAGATATCCCATAATATGGGCAAGCCACATGCTGGTGACACAGTCACTGCTGTGTTTATGTGTCTGAGTGGAATGCATCCCAAGATGCTGCAACTGAGTGCTCTCTGTGAGCCAGGAAATCAATGAGTGTTTGGAAAGTGGCCATCACCAACAGCGGGAGCTCCTCCATCACATGGGCAGAGGGGCACTTCTCCCAGCTGAGTGCTATGCACAAACGCTCCAAAGTGGGGTGGACTCTTCCTCTTTCTATTTATTTAAATAATGTATTTGTGTGCACGTGCATGTGCATGCGTGTGGAAGCCAGAGGTGGATGCTGTATAGCTGTCTCAGTCACTCTCCACTCTGTTTTTGAGACAGACCCTCAATGACTGGGCTAAATGAGCTTGCCAGTGAGCCCCAGAAATTGCCTTGTCTCTGCCTGCCCAGGGCTGGGATTACAGGTGTTTACTGTTATGCCTGGATTTTCTATGTGGGTTCTGGGGGACTGAGCCGCTATCCTTATACTTGAAGGGCAAGCACTTTTCCACTTAACTCTCCAGTCTCGTTTTTCTCTTCTTTTTTTTTTTTTAAGTAAAACATACCCTTTCTGCCTTCTGAGTGCTAGGATTAAAGACACGTGCCACCACCTCCTGGTAACACATAGAATCTTAACATCTCCAAACACCCAAAATATATAAAGAACACTCAATGTTCAATAGTATGGAGATATGCAGGCCAAGTATACACAAGCTAAAGATTTGAATTCTTCACCCAAAAGATATACAAATGGTCAACAACGCATAGTAAGATGTAGACAATTATTGCTCACAGAGAAATTCCCACTAGGATATATGTGCTCTCATAATGGGATGCCCGTAGACATCTGCTAAAGGTTTACAAAAACTATTCTGTGTGTTTGTGTGTGCCTGCATGTGCATGTATGTATGTATGTATGTATGTATGTATGTATGTATGTATGTACATGTACATTTAGGTGCCCAAGCCCTTCACAAGAGCATCAAGTACTCTTAACTACTGAGCCAACTCTTCAGCCCCTATCTTCTTCTTAGTTCAGATAACATTCCAGGTTCCCTTTCACCATGGCAGACTTTCCAATGGCCTTAGCTGCCCACTTACTTTTCATTCTCTTTTCTTCCTTTGGCAATAGCCCTGATTTTGTTGGGGATGATTTCGTGTTCAGGTAAAAATGGCTAGCTCCATCTATTCCTTCTAGCCAGGACTCTGTGTGTGCACGGTTCTGGCTGATGAGAAAGGCTTCTTGTGAAACTATTGCTAACCCAGTCTTACAAGACCAAACTAAAAAAAAATGTCAGTTGATAACTTTTTTGTTTCTTTGCCTTTTTCTTTCTTCCAGAAACAAGGATGCTGTGCCTGGAGACAGAGAGCAGATATGGAAAGAACAGGTGCCCAGCTTGAGAGCAAGTGCTGAGTCACTGGGAATGGCGGCACAGCAGCTAGAGAGATCTGGGCTCCTGCCAGTGCAGGGCAGCAAGAACAAACCTGGAGTGCCTCTTGGCAGTTTGTACTACATATAGTTAGCTGCCTCAGCTGAATGGACTCCTGCTGCTTCTGCACTGCTCCAAAACACGTAGGGTGGCTTTGCTTCCACCTCATCCCTAGAGCAATGAGAGTGTTGTGTGTTTGTTGAGGTCAGCGACATTTTCTTGATCTACATGCTCCTTGTCATACTTAACCAGAGGCTAAAGACCTAGGAAACCCTGCAGTAATTTTACATGGTGGAAAGTGTGTGAGAAATTTATGCTTGCCTTTACAGCTTGACTCAATGAGAGCTGACATCAGACTTACTATCCCTGTATATATTTGTAGACAGAAACACAGCCACTTACAGCATACCTATCTGGACCCCATCTTCAAACATTCAGACTCAGAAGGTCTGAGATGAAAGTCTGACATCTGTATGCTAACAAGAATATCTCCAGGGTTTGGGAAATGACTCCATCAGGGCAAGATGAGGACCTGAGTTGTCCTCTCCATCACCCCCAGAAAAGCCAAATGAGGTTGTGTTTATCTGTATCGGCAGCATTGGAACATTAGAAAAGAAGGATCTGAGGTTTACTGCTCAGTCAGCTTAGCTAAATTGGTGGAGAACAATTACGACAGACAGACGTTTGACAGTGACTTCTGACCTACACACACACACACACACACACACACACACACACACACACACACACACATTCACATTGCATGTGCTTATCCATTTCTGCCCTCAAATTTTCCTTTCCAGAAAGATCTGCCATTTATGGACTTCCTACATGGCTTATGTAACACCCAGAGCTTTTTCTATTTTAGCCAGTTGGGAAGAATACAAACTGGAATAAGGAAGAGTTAATTCATAGCTAGCCCATCTGCAACATTTTCAATGAAAAGATGTCCAGTGTGCGCCCAATAAGGAGTTATGTATAGTATATCTCTTACATAATTAAGAACTTTCTTGATAGGATATTGAGGTGCAGTTAGGTAGGGTCATTTTGGGGCTCCTTTTAAATGTATTTTACTTATTATATTTTCATTTGTTTTCGTGTGTGTGGGTACATACTCATATGTATATAGGCGCATGTGTGTATACTTATGCGTGTGTGTGTGTGTGTGTGTGTGTGTGTGTGTGTGTGTAGGCCAATGGTCAACTTTGAATGTCACCCATCAAGTGCTGTATACCATATTTTTTTGAATCAGGGTCTCACACCAGTCTGGAATTCACAGAGTAAACGAGGCTAGAAGGCCAGCAAGAACCAGGAATTTACCTGCCTATTTGCTCTGGCACTGGGTTATAAATATGGACAACACTGGACTCTTTTTTTAAGGAATGTTCTAGGGATCAAACTGGGGTTCTTCTGCTTGTTCAGCAAGCACTTTACTGACTGAGATATCTCTGCATAGTTGGGGCTTCTTTCCAAAAATAGGCTGTGTGTCCATGGAGATTGTCATCATTGTACCTAGTAAATGCATGAGAGTCTGTGGGTGCATTTTTCATATTAAAAAATATTCAGCAAGTCAGACAAAGGGCATGGCAACCTTTTGCTAGCTGAAGAGTCTAGAAACAAACAATCAGCCAAAGCCAAGTAAATGAGAAATGAGCCATGTATCATCCAAATGTGCGCTGGTAGTGATGATTCAGTCTCTGCCCGCAACTAGCATCTCAGTACACAAATTTTCCTGATTAAGGAAGTTATCTGCAATGAAATGCAGCATGGACATGTGAAGGAGTGGAACTTTTATTGGCATTTTATTGAGTAAGTGGCATTTTATTGAGAATGTAGAGGGCATGATTGCTGTTCATTGACCCTCGACTTGTAAAGAGAGGCCAGGTCACAGAAGCCTGTAGATCTATCTTGTTTTATTTCCAAACAAATTTTATTTTTATTTTGCCCTCTTGGGCTTGGCTTTCTAATAATCTGCACTGCAGAAGAGAGATGAAAAGGCACATAGCTTTTTATAGAGTGTGAGCAAAGAGCACTCGCTTCCTGTCCAGCCCTCATGTCCCTTTCGGAATATGAACAGATGGGTGGTTATTGCATGAATATATTGTTTTTCCTTCCTTAAGCTGATGGATGATAGAGGAGATAGGACATAGCAATGCACTTACGAGGCTCATTCCCACAGAAGAGTTTGCTGTCCTATCAGGAATCCATGGCTGGCATTGCTAGTTGATCACAGAACTCTTTCCTACTTTGACACACCATGGAAACTGCAGCACAGTGTCTCAGTCGCTCCTTAACAATGTATTGAAGAGGACAAGCTATCTGGATCTATTTTCCACAAAAAGTGAAAGTAGAGGACCAGTTCCCTGCATGACTAGGAGATGTAATTAAACACGCCACTTCCACTCGGTTATTCTGCAATGATGGCCACCAGGTCTTGGAGATTGTAGAGGCCAAATGCACAACACTCTACATTCTTCTCCATTTTTGTCATTCAGAATAATGTTTCTCAGAACCTGTGTGCTCCGAAATATCTGGAAGTCTTCCGTTGAGTAATGTAGGCCACAATGGGGTTCACTTGATGTCAACACAGGCAATCTGCAGTCATATCTTCTAAAAAACATTAGCTCTTTGGAGTGAAATTTTCACAGAAAGGACCCACAAAATCTGTACATTTGTTGTTAGTTCTTTAGGCTCAGAACTGAAAGGTGACACCTGAAATAAGGTTGGGTTCTAGTTTTGCTCAACCCTGATTTACACAGAGTCAGAGTTTGAATGGGAAATGTCACCCACCAGCTTATGAGTTTTGCAACTCGGTCCCCAGCTGATGGGTGGAACAGTGGAACTGCAGCCCGGTAGCTGAAGTGGTTTCCTGGGGATGGATGTTATAGGTGATATCTATTTCTGGCCTGATCTTGTTGCTTCCTGTTCAGCAAGATGTGAACAAGTCTTATGCCACAAACTCCCACCAACACAGACTGACCTACTTCTATGACCTGCTCTAGCCATCTTGCCTTTGCTACCATGATGAGCTGCAGCCTTGCAACTGAGACTGAGCAAACCCCTCCTCCCTTAACTTGCTTCTGTCAGATACTTTGTCACAGCGAGGAAAAGGGTCTTAACATAGAAACTCATCAGTGCCACACCCACAAAAATAAATTCCTGACATGTGTTGGATGAATAGATGCATGAATTCAATTTTACTTTAGGAAATAGCTCCCAGAGGCCTCCTGAAAGTCTACATAGCCATTGGAAACACTTAACAATGTATTCTCAAATTCCCAATCCAAAGTCAAATTATGTCTGTTGGAATGTATTTGGAGACAACCTGGTGAGCAAATATTTCTGCAGTGGGTAACTGCAAAAAGTCTAGCTGTCAGCTCACTCAGTAGCCCCACCATGTTCCACAGCTCCCCTGGAACACTACTTGCTGCCATGCATGAAAGAACATAGATTGTAGCAGATGCTTGCATGAGAGGTGTGGACCCAAATCTAGCCCCAAGTCAAGTCATAAATAGACATTTATAAAATAGATCATACTTCTTCAGTGACAATACCCTCACCAAGCTTCTTGGTACCCAAGGTCAATGTTGCCAGGTGCCTTTTATATAGCCTACTGGCTCCCGTGATATATTTAAAAATTTTAATGCCATCTGCTAAGCATTCAGTTATCTACATAACCCAATAGGACAGTGGAGTTGGCCCAGAAGTGACCCATTACCTACTTTCTCCTAGGATAAGGGCATCATTCAAAGCCATAGGAATATAATGTGAATGATGTCATACTAAAATATGCCCAGCTTTTATCTGTTCAGCAAGTGTGTAATGGGGTTTGCAACTTGCTAGGCTTTCTGAAGATGTATGTGAGAGTCAGCCAACTGTGGCTTGGTCTCTTTGAGCCAATTCTAATCAAGCAATGGGATCTGTGCCTCTCCTGTACCAGGTTTGGAAAACCCCTTCCAAAGTGTGGTAGAGGCTCAGAGCACTACCTTCAACTTTATGAAATTCATAGGTTATGAGAAAACAATGATAATGTAGCCATTATTTAAGCAATTTGAAAATCTGCTATGGTATACATGTACTTTGGCAGGAGTACATCCAGAGCATAACATAACATAACATAACATAACATAACATAACATAACATAACATAGAAATGATGATGAGCATGGAGAATATTTCAAGAGACTAGCAATATCTATCATGTGATGGATGCAAGCTATCTGTGATCTACTGCTAATGATGCCTTGGCATTGCTCACATGTTTCTGTTTTGTTCTTTCCCTTTGAGCTAGTAAGAATGATGGAAAGTTGAGGCTAGTGAAAGGAGTTGCAATTTTCCCTTATGACATTCACAAATAACCTGATTACTATGTCAGCATCACATGGGAATTCTCGACAATAAATTTGGTATTTGTACTCTGCTGTATCTATATATTCATATCCATGCAGTATTAAAAATTGTATTTGTGGCAAGTTATGTGATAGGTTTGCTATTGTAATGCAGACACCAGCACTGGGAGGTGGATGAAGAGGAAGTAGCAGATAGTTGGAGACATAAAACATATGCTTGAATGGTAGCAAAGAGACATAGGAAGAAGTGGGTAGTGTACTGTTTAGGCAAAAGAAACCACACCCAATAAGTTCATAAAGGAAAATAGAGTAGAACAGGGAGATGAGTTCCCTAGGTAGCAAGACCATGGGATGATGAGGGGGCTGTGTTTGAGGGGGACTAAGAGCTGAGTCTGGAGTAATGAAGATACAAGATACAGGAGAAATAAAGAAATTCTTGGTCTTTATCCCAGAACCAGTGAAAAACCATTATTGATTTATAGGACATGTGTTCATTAAGAAAATCACTTCAGCTATTATATGGCCATTGGGAGAAGAATAGAGACAGGAAGACCAATGGAAAGATTGCTGAGTTAATTTGGCTACTGATCTGATGTGTGGAGAGGAGGAGGTGTGGGAGTGAGCTGAGATTTGAAGGCACAGTGCTGTTATTTACTGATGTTGACACCACAGGACGAGACACGAGTTTAGGGAAAGGCAGAAATGTTGAATTTGGCTTTGGACGTAACGGAGTTCAGGTGCCTCTGAGAAAGTCCAGTGACCTTAATCAGTACTCAGGTGTCTATCTGAGTGGGGTCTGAGGTGCTGAAATAAAGCTTGGATGTAGGTAGAAACTAAATTAGCATGTTTCTTTCTGGACACTAAAGCAAACAGTGAAACTGTTGTAGAGTTTCAATGAATGATATATTAAGTGATCATACTTGAAAACTACCATCTACAGCATAGCGCCAGGCATGGTACTGTATACTTTGTAAGAACTTTCTCCATCCTTGAAATATGGCTTGATATGGTATGTTTTTGTTATCTTGCAGATAGCATGTAGGGAAGTCAATACTGAGAGAGTCTAAATAATTTAATAATAACAGTAAGAGACAGATCAAGATTTTAAACCAAGGCATCTGATGCCAAACTGAGGCTCTTAAATATTATGTTAAAGACACTGCCATGGGGTGAAATCACATTGCACTCCACTTGTAGGAAAGAAAACAGAAATAACAAATTCTCAACCGATTTCTACATAATACCTTGACACGGTTTCATTTGAGGGCACAGATGATGATTGATACAATCTTCGTTCCCCATTTCATTGCTTTGAGTCGTATGTATTCATCACATATTTATGCAATGAATGGAAATGGAAATTTCACTGGCATTAGATTCATTAAGGAAGAAGACCATGCCTTGGAATTTCATGAATTAGGGGAAATTATGTTAGTGGTGAGAGACATAAATGCATAAATCTGATTCAAAGCACTGTGTGTTGGGCACCTAATTATTTCCTGAGTGCTTAAAAAGCTCCATTCTTCAGGATGGCAGAACCCTGGATCCAGCCATGGTGCCTGTTTGTTCCAGGAGTTGGGCTCCATCTTTCTCCTACTGTGTGGAGTTTGTCACAAGGCTGCACTGGTAGGTCCAGGTTGCCATCCTCTTAGATTCATTTCTGGGAATAGGAGCTCTCTATTCCAGTCACTTCAGTAGGATTCTTTGAATTGAATCTCTTTGGTCTGGCTGGAAACACACATTCATTTTGAGCCAGTCTCTGTGGCCAAAAGGAAAGACTGTAATGTCTGCTTGGGTCTGAGTCACAGCCTTGCCCTTCAAGAGAGGCAATGGGGGTTTGTGGGAAAGGATGAGGGTCCACCCCAGATGCACAAAATGATGAGACTTGAAACTTATTCTCCCTCCAGCCCAGGCCAGCCCAGGCCAGCCCAGCCCAGGCCAACCCAGCCCAGGCCAGCCCAGCCCAGGCCAGCCCAGCCCAGCCCAGCCCAGCCCAGCCCAGCCCAGCCCAGCCCAGCCCAGCCCAGCCCAGCCCAGCACAGGGTATGCTAATAATAAAGGGAGTAATATCTGCTGGGCAGGCAAAAACAACAGATGCCCATTACATTTGGCCACGGCAAAACAAGACTCTAGTTTGTTATAAAGAATCCAGTTTTCATATAAATATCTTCAAGACTAGAAATAAGACTATTTCAGGAACAGCAAGTTCTATACTTAACTATTCAGTGACCTTGTGCTATTTTATTAGTCACTTAGTGATTTTATTACTAGAATTGAGTAAACTAACCAAGGCATAAAATTTAAAAGGCACTTAATAAAAAAAACTAAAAAACAAAAAGCTGAGAACAACTACCAGTAAAGTCACTTGGCCTAGGATTTCTAGCTCAATGTATTCTGTGATTTAAAAAGAAAATCCCTGACACCAGTGTAACTTCTATGCAAAGAATAAGACTAATCTTAGAGCAGAATGAGAAAATTTGCCCTCATTATCTAAAACTCTACTTGGTTCCTCATTTGGACAGAAGTTGTCTTGGTGGGAATTGGGGGCGGACTAATTCTTATGCTTTAGACAGGAAAACTTCTACTTTTTGGTGTATCTTCACAAACACCAATGACATACACAATTATGTAAATGTAACATTTAACAAAATAAGAACAAAATTCTATCTGTTAAAGATGAACTATAGCTTTCTCAAGATGTCTGAAAGCGTTAGTTTTGTCTAGAGGAAAGTAAAACCGCAGGGAAGAATAAATAGCAACCTAGTGTAACCAGCAGGCTAATACACAGGCATCATCAGCACCCTGTTTCTTGGTGCTGATGCTAAACTGCCTATGGATGATCAGGGCCTGAACAGTTTGGAGAATAATTTCATCATACAACAAAGATGCTCACAATTAGGCTGGGGTTTTCCTTAGGTTTTCTTCTTGTCCCTTCTTTTTGTTTTTGGTACTTAGATTCACAAAGAAGCATGAAACAACAATGACAAAAATGCTCCAAGAACCGGATAAGCATATATGTTTTAAGACCCATGGAAGGCAAAAACAGGGTCATTAATACTACTTGAGTGCCTACTATGGGCATGGCATTTCATAGTGAAGAAACTATGGTGCCACACGAGAGTATGGGTGTACACATATGTGTGGATGTTCGCATGCATACTGTGGAGGCTAGGGTTACATCTCAGTTGTGATCTTCAGATGTCATCCGTCTTTTTTCCTTTTTCTTTTTCTTTTTCTTGAGGCAGGGTTCTGAAGCTCACCAATTAGGCTATGATACCCGGTCAGTTACCCCTAGGCATTTACCTGCTTCCACCAAGCCAGGACTGGAATTACAAGTGTGTGTCAGCGCGCCTGGTTTTTTGACATGATTTTGCAGGATGGAAGTGATGTCCTCATGCTTGCAAGCAAGTACTCTAGAGAACTAGACATTTCTCCATCCACCAGCAACAGTATTTTTCTTAAAAATCAGATTTATTGATTTATTTTATGTGTAAGAGCATTGCACCTGCATGTATGTATATGCACCATGTGTGTAGCTAGTCCCCTTGGAGGTCCAATAGGGCATCAGATTCTCCAGAGGTCAAATTACAAATAGTTGTGAGCCGTGATGTAGGTGCTGGGAATGGAACCCAGGTCTGCTACACAAGCAACAAATGCTCTTAATTGCTGAACCAGTTTTCTAGCCCCACATTCTTTAAATTTTTAAATGCTGTTACACTTACACAAGAATTACAATGATTGTACAGAGAGTGCCTGCGTGTTTATCACTCACCTTTGTCGTATTAACATTTAATATAATCAAAGAACATTTATCAAAATTATATACAGGGTTTAGAACGAAATTAGTAACTCAAATACAAGTTTTATTTGGGTTTCATTGATTTTATGGTTTTGCTTGTAAGGTTCCTTCCTTCTTTCCCTCCATCTCACTCCCTCCCCTTCTCCCAGTACAGTGGATTGAATCTAGAACATTGCTTTTACTGAACTACATGCCTACCTAAGGAATCAATAATTTCCACAGGTAACCTTGGTCTATTGTTCCACCTGTCTCAGCCTCCTGAGTAGCCAGCATTACAGCCTATGCCACGGTAGTAATTCTATTTTCTTACATTTTCCCTTCTGCTCCAGGATAGAAGAAAATATTCCATATTGAATGTAGTACTGAAGATAGTGGTCTCTGTCCCTCCAGGTCCCACTGCTGCTTAGTCCCAAATAAACACACTGAGGCTTATATTAATTATCAACTCTTTGTCTGATGGCTTGGGCTTCTTATTGGGTAGCTCTGTCTTAATTATTAACCCATTTCTATTAAACTATATATTGCCTCAAGGTTGTGCTTACCCATAATGCTCTGGCATGTCACTCCTTTGGCAGTTACATGATGTCTCTCCTCCCAGGCTTCTCCTAGTCTAGTAGCCCCACGTATACTTTCTGCTTGGCTACCTCACTTCCTGTCTGTCTGTACAGACCTCCAGACCTCTATGGTTAGCTAGTGGCAAGCTCCATTCTCTGACCTTCAGACACGCTTTATTTGTACAAGCAAGATATCACCACATAGTACAATTCTTTTTATTATGCACCTACATATGTGTTGAATTTGTATTGTTTCCACATACATTAAACAATAGTTACTAGGAGTAATAAAAATTCTCTATAGCTGACTCTCTGACCTCAAATGTCGTAATCTTCACATTCTTACACTTTCTTTTGCCTATGAATCCATCAATTAAAAATCATATTATAGTCTAGTGATAGAATATTCACCTCATATATGCTGGACTCTGGATCTTTCCAACCCCAGCACACAAAATCAAAATCTGTATTGACTGACCAATACAATTGGAGAGTGTGTGCCAGCATGCACAGGGTACTGGGGCTAATTCCCTGTCTAACTAGACAGACCATGGATGGTATTCTGGAGATTTGCATATGTGTGTGGAGGTCAGAGGGCAACCTTGGCATTGTTCCCAAGGTGTTGTTCACCATGTTTTATGAGATAGGGTTTCTTCATTAGCCTGGACCTCTCTGAGTAGATAAGGCTAGCTCGCTCCCTGTATCTGCCTGAC